TTTGTTTCCCCCCTCACTTCTCTATATTGGACTTCTCAAGTGTTTGATGTGCTTGAAGCACCTTCTCTCAGCGCCTTCCATTCAGATGCATTTTCTTGCTCATCATTTCTTGGTCTGCCTTAGTTTTTTCTTTCATGGTTTTGGATTTCTTTTCTCTCACCAGTTCCTCTTATGGTAACCAGAATCTGCTCTGACAACTCTGTCCAAACAGTGGCTAAAAAAAACACAAATGTATGATATGCCCAATGGTAAATGTTAACTGTACAAATTTGCAAACCCATTGCTTTCTATGCAGAAGCAGGTTAGGTTTGCCATACTGTTAGATCACTGTGTTGGCTTCAGTTAGTTCTGTTTTCCTCTGCATTTTTTAAGCAACAACCCCCCAAAGAACAGTTTCCTCCTGGAAGCTTGGCTGGGACTGCTGTGTTGTGTAATGGAGACCATCCTCCAGCTATAAACAACATCATTTACTTAGTTAAACAGCTTTGTCTTGGTGTTACTGGGGGCCAAATGCTGGTTTTCACCCTGAGAGCAGAAGTGTCATGGCCTTGGCAAGTGGCTTGTCCTGGGAGTCCTGGAGGAAGATGCAAACATGTGCTGCTCACACTATCCGGATACTCACAACTGGGGCCATGCCAAAGGCTTTAGTGGGTGGAATCTTCATGTTCTCTGTATTCCTGGCTCAGCTGGGACTGCAAAGGAGCCAGGTTTCTGCTGGTCTCTGTACAGGATGAGCGAGCTGCTCCATGTCCCATGCCAGGAATGGTCTGTCTCACTTCTAGCTGAAGCTTTGTAACTCAATCTGAAGAAGATAGATCACTTCCTCTGTTGTTCTTTTTTGTTCTACACAGGCTTTATTTCTGGTTGTTATCCCATTTGTGTAGCCCTTGTTTAAGCCCAGCTCTCTGTCTAAATCTGCTTGTTTTGCGATTGATTTCATATTTGAAATTTTCAGAGACCAAAAGTATGCAGTTCAATGGGTGCAACACATTTCCAAAGTCACTTATGCGCTTGTTTTCCTTACTACTTTTAGTAACTTGTAAAACACTTAAGGCCAATTATTTGAACAAACAATGTCATAGTGGATAATCTCAGTGTTGGCAGTGCTATTGGCTGGACACAAACAGCTCATAAAAGAAATGCCTTGGAAACTTTCTGAATGCTAAATGTGGAAAGAGCTTCCCTCTTCCCTCTGAACTGCCTCTGCCACACTGCACTATAAGGTGCAACCAGACACTGAACTGCTTCAAAAATTGTTTTCCAGCAGATGAATGGGAGCAAAGCTCTTTGATAACATATTCTGATGGGTCCCAGCAATCTCGTCCTTGTGCTCACTGCTGCGCTGCTGCAAAGTGGAAAACTAGGGATTTCCTCAGGCCTGCTCAGTGCTTCCATGTAAAATCTTGGCTCCAGGAAATAAAGTGAAACACTGACTAACATCTTCCCTTTAAAAATGTTAGTAGTTCTCCATCCTGGCCAAAATACTGGGTTGTCAGAAAAAGAACCCCTGCCAGAACTGATTATGCTTCAGAAGTACCCGAGGCAGTGTTAAGACCCAGCACACCAAGACAAGGACCATGGATGCTGGGTGTGAGCAGGACTCACTGCCTCAGACATCAGTTTTCAAGTGGGGGCTGGTCACAGCTGCTGTCCTCCCTAAAGCCCCAAAAGAGATGTGACAGCAGCATTCTCCACAAGAGTGTTCAGGGGCTGGTGAGGAATGAAGTAGATTCTCTAATCTTACTCACAACATTGAACAATTAATCCCTAAAGAAACCCTTAAACAAACAAAAGTGGGAAGGAGGAATGCATTTAAAAGTTTATAGAGTGCTGGGGGAGCCCAGCTGCAGGCAGGATGGTTTTGGTGCGTGCGTGCCAAAGGCTTGTTGTCCATCATGATGCAAATGCACTGTCCAGCACGATGCAAACATGTCGCTCCCAGGGTGCATGCGTGCAAGGAGTCCCCTTCTCCTGCTGCTGCCCTGGGACTCTTTGTTGTTGTTGTTGTTTTTCAGAGTTAGGGAATCCTGTTGTAAATCAGTACTGAAGGGGTTAGAGCCTTGCTGACCTACACTGGGAGATGTGTTCTGGGGAGCACGTTTATGAGAGATTTTTCTGTCTCACTTTCTCCAAAAGAAACAAAGCCCGTGAATATGGTCTGTATTTAGGTCCCATGTTGCTTTGAGAATTTGGCAAGATGGCAAGTTTTAACCTCAGGAGCTGGCTCTGGTGGTCTGCTGGAGCAGTCTGATACGCTGCCTTTTTGGAATATTCCATCCCTGACAGAAATGCTTCCCTATGAAAACTAAGACCTGAGAATTGGAGTGCATTAATCCATGTTGTAAATATGTGCACAGCTGATCAGAAGTTGCTCCTTGAACACCGTGTATATATATATCTATATATTTGTTTTGTTTTTCTTTAAGCACTTCTAATGAGCACTTCAGGTGTATGGTCTTGAGATCAGAAAAGAAAACCTGAGTTTGCTGTAAGCATGAAGCAAAAATTCTGTATTCTCTTGACCTGTGCTCTTTTTCAGTTCCTTGATATAAAAGACATGTACAGAATTGTTCCTCAAATACATGCCCCAGGAAGTACTAGCTCCTTACCATTTAAAACCGAATAGGTGTTCTTGTGGTGAAAACTCCCACCTCTTGAAACTTTCCAATCAGATGAACAGTAAAAAGGTCAAAGACTCTGCCCCTGTTCTGAGCTCTGTGCTGGGTTCTGATGCTGCAGGTCCATGTGCTGGGCCAGAATGTGCATTTAGGAGCCTGGCTGCGGAAGCTGAACAAACATGTCCTGCAAGCTCAGGAGGCATTAGCTCAGCTGCAGTGTTGCATGGCACAAGGCTGATTTATGCACAGACAGTTTGGGCATCCATATTGGGCATGCCTTATATCTTGCTGCTGCTCCTGTACTGGCGATGCTCAGAAATAGAGCCATAGAACCGTAGAGCCAGAAAGAGACAGAGAGAGAGAGAAAGAAAGAGGAAGGAAGGAAGGAAGGAAGGAGAGAAAGAAAGAAAGAGAGAGAGAGAGAGAGAGAGAAGAAAGAAAGAAGAGAAGAAGAAAGAAAGAAAGAAAGAAAGAAAGAAAGAAAGAAAGAAAGAAAGAAAGAAAGAAAGAAAGAAAGAAAGAAAGAAAGAAAGAAAGAAAGAAAGAAAGAAAGAAAGAAAGAAAGAAAGAAAGAAAGAAAGAAAAGGGGAAATAGATTTGGAAATGGAGTTTTTGCACATCACTAAATGGAGCTTTGGAGCAAGAACTTGGGGTCAGATGAGGAATCAGATACATTGGGCAATGTTGGGGGGGAGAAGCAGGGTAGGATTTGGCAAAGGACAGCATGAGGTATGACCTACTAAGAGATATGGAGCCAGAACAAAGGTTTGAACCATTTTTGAGGTAGCAGTAGAAGAGAATAGACACAGCCAGTGTCTGTGAGGATCATAACTGCATCTGTAAGGGAAAACATTATATTTAAATCTAAACAGTCTGAGTTTGTTATCTTTGCAAAATAAACATTCTCATGCATTTGACTTTTTTCCATGCTTACAAAGTGCACTGGATGTTGGACGAAAAACAGAGTGAGATCTAGAGGCAGTTTGCACGCAAAACAGTTAGTAGCAAGAATTCCTAGCTGAGGGTGTCCTGTCACATACAGTTAGTAAAATATTGAATGAATTTGGATCAGAGTGAGTGCTGACCTTTCATGTCATTCCTTTGAGTGCCAGAAGTCCTCCAGATCTGAGGCGGGGTCTGTAGATGGATGATTGGCTGGTAAAAGGCACATTTTTTTTGCTTTGCAGTAAGACAAGTAACTTCTGCACTTGTACATCCTGTATGCTCCTACTGACCTGTTTTGTGGATGTTTAGTTTGTAAAAAGGACAGAGTTCTTGCAGTGTGTCTGTAGAAGAAGATGCATCATCTGTTTAAAACCTCTTGAGCAAAACAACTATGTCTCCTGGTGCTGGTTGTGGTATGTATGAACTGAGCACAAATCTTCGTCATAAAGCTTTTTGGTTATGTCTTGACTTTTTCAACCCCAAGCCCTTATGGGTATTACTGCTTCCTTTACATTTTTCTATTTATTTTTTTTTCTGAGTAATGCAAACTTCAGCATTCCAGGGTGTCCTCGTCTGCCCTTTCCATGACAACCTCAAATGCAAGGGTGGAGGAAATGAGTGAGAAAAGGAAAAGAAAGAGATGACACAAATCCAAACTAAAAATCTATGGAATTGGTGAGTGTGTGCATTGGGGAGATTCATACGTATGCTGAGATGCCAGGGATGTTCTGACTTGTAAGTTGGTTAAACCTGGCTGTAAAACACAGTGCTCGAGCCTTTGGGACAGATGAGGGAATCTCCCATCCTATGCAGTGATTTGGTGTTGTCCTCCCTCAAGATACCTGTGATGCTTAGGTCTGCTTCTGTGTTAAACCATTGCATTCTCAGTGTGCCATTTCCTTGAGATATTTGAACTTTATTTCCCTTCCAGATTTTGCCCCAAGTACAGGCACCTTGTGTGCTTGCAGCCTGACAGTCCTGACTGCTGTCTGCTTTGTTGTTGTGTCCATGAAGCTGTAGATCAGCTGCACTGTGATAAATAAAATGCTGCATGGGATTCCCCTTTAAATAACCGTCTCTTTTTGCATAGACAATACCAAGAGCCGGACTGTAATATGAGGCAGACAAAAACAAAAGCTGTCAATTTGGGTGCTTTAACTCTTTTTCTTGCCTTGACAAGTATCACTCTCTTCCAAGAGATGTTTATGAGTTTGCTGATGAGCATTTCCAGCGTTCTTTGCAGTTCCTGCTGTGTGAAAGACACAGATGGATAGAAAGATGAGTTTGTTCTCCGCAGCTTGCTCAGACCATGTTTGTTTTTGTGTTTTGTTTTTTTTTTTTTTTTCTTGTTTGTTTGGGGGGGGGGGTTGTTTGTTTGGGTTTTTTTTGTCTGTTTCATCTCTCCATCTCTCTCCTAGGTCACACTGGTGTAAGCAGAGCCTGCTGGTTATGGAGCCTGTGATGCCCATTGCCTTTGGTGTGCTGCACAGTCCCAAAGCAAGGGCAGCCACTGGGGTCAGACATCCTCCACTTTGAATTAGCATTCAAAAAAGTGGATGAGTGGGGGTCCATCCTGGTGAGGGACCACTGCTGGCAGCAGCTGACACTGCTGACAGGGACTTCTGTGGCTGCCTTCCATCCAACAAGTGAAGCCTTGCCTGCAGAGCACAGCCCACATCTCCCCAGTAGATGGGCTGTTGCTGCAGAGGAGATCACAGTTGGGGTACTGAGGCTTCTGGATGTTTACTTTGCCCCAGTTTTCATTTTCCAGAAGCCCTCTTGGATGATGCAGGAGCTTCTTCTAGAAAGAGGCTGGGGCCAGGTGTAACATGAGAGGCAAGGGAGGAGGAAGCAGATGGAAAAACTCAGTTTTGTGTGGATGGGAAGTTAGTGTGATTTCACAACCTTGCTGATCTGCTAACTTTGGTTGTGTGCTACTCCAGTGCAGCCTCAGAGCCAAGTCTTCTCTCTGCCACGTGGATTTTTCCTGCTGTTCTCCTTGGTTTGAGCAGTGTGCATGTCTTTGCATGGACTTGGGCAGTGTTTTCCCATGCTACTAATTGGGATACAGGATCAGCCTCCTTACACAAGCAATGCCATGATGTTCCCCTGCTTTCTGTTTCTTTATGTTCACATTATGGTTAGTTTTGCCAGTACTAACAACCTATTCCTCTCTCAAGTTTATTAGCAAGCACCGGGACTCTGTAAAGTGAGTGGGAATTCCCCTGCCTATAGAGGTACACAGATCCTAATCTTGGGGCTCTCACATCTTGCATGTACATGGAGGGGGGCGCAGAAGGGGACCGTGTGTGGGTGTATCCTCCTGGCCCAAGAACTGCTGGAGAAACCAGCTTTTGATATTTGTGTGAATTATTTTTTTTCTTGCTTGCTCTTTTTTTTTTTTTTTTGGTTGTCTTGTTCCTCTCTCCTGATTTACTGCATATGCTCACGTGGCCTTGGAAAGGGGGGTTCTCAAACCGTTTCACTTCCAAAAGGAAAAGAAGCTGGCAGGCATTCATATTTCAGTCCTCAAGTTATGTATGTTAAAGTCTCCCAGTGGGAAAATGGAAGATATAAGAGAGCAGAGAGCTGGTGGAGATACTTGTTAAGCGAAAACAGAAGAAAGAAGCACGTAACCCTAGAGCTACATCCAGACAAATTAGAGGTTTCAGAGGTATGTTTTCTGTCTGTTGTTAGAACATTTCCATTGATTTTATACATTTTGTGGTAAGATGCCTCATTTTATCTTATGTAATTGTAGGAATGACTGTATTTTAGGAGCAGATTATAAGATATAAGTTGTTCACATGCAGAGGGGATAACGTTTTTATCAATGAAACCTTTTGTTATCAATAATGTAGCTAAATCAAGTATAAAATCAGATATAGAAGGCTTTGTGACTAGTTCTGAGATTTAAGTTTCCATAGGTTGAAGAGAGGGGTTCAGAACAGAGTTAAGGGGGAAAGGAGACTTTATTTTTCCTTCTCCGCAAACAAACCCTTCCTCTGTTTTAAGACTTGTTTGATTAAAAAATGTGGGCTTGTGATTCGATACCTTAAATACCAGCTCACTGCAGAAATCATTATTAATATTTTCCTACTGAATTTTCATTATGCTGAGAAAATAAAATTAAAATTCAATTTTGTCAGTATGTTCACAGGAACATATTGCATATTTTGCATTATGGAAACAATAAGCGATTGTATACTAAATGGTTAATATAGAAAATATTTTTGAAATGATCAGTTACCCTCTTTTAAATGAGAGATCATTATTCAACTCTGTTGTCTTTACTTGGTCAAAATTTCTGTTGTTTTAAGGGCCCCATGAGAATTCTTAAATGCCTAAGTGATTCCATAAGGACTTAATTAAAAGGAATGGTCTTTTTATTATATACAATAAAATATTTTGTCTGATTTCTTTATTGACTATAAAATCTTGAAGCTTGAAAAATGTTCTGCTTAGAGTACAGACTCGAGAGCCGTTGAACTGGAACAAAGAGATCTGTCAAAGGACTCTCCTATTTTAGCTGCTTTGTAGCCACATTTTTCCATACTGAAAACCAGTCTTAATCTTTCTAAATTTATGGTAAATACTGCTGTTAACTCTAGTGCTTGTAAGGACTGTGTATGTAAGTGTCTGTTGCTTATATCTACATGGAAAATATTTATTTTCTGACTAAAAGCCATCACGGGGGCAAGAGATGCAGATTTGAATTGAGAAAGACTCTGATTGTAGGTGATATTTTGTAAAGACCCTTCAGTGTCTTTGTATCTAGCCCCGTGATTTAAAAAAAAATCAAAGGCTGCTTTCCTAATAGCTTTACTAAAAGGCTGCTTTCATGCTTGTGAAGTCCCAGGAGATCCTCAGGTGTGAACTACCTAATCCCCAGTGGCAAGTACTGCCTTTTACATTATTTTAACTGTACAGAGTACTGGAAATAGAACGAGAAAGCAAAGAAAAGGATTACAAGGAGCTTTAGTGCTGCCTTTGGTCTCAGAAGTTCCTGAAGTATCTGCAGCTCTTGAGTCAATGATCTTTCTGCTCAGCTGGCCACAAAAAGCACCATCTGTAATAGCAGATGAAACCCAGCTGCTCGCTTTTCTGCCAGGCTAATTAAAAAGTGTCGCGACCTCTCTAGTGCTAATTGTGTCCTGTTAGTGGGACAGAAGAAAGGAGTCCAACAGGGTTGCCTGGTATAACAGCTCTCAGATTCCTGACATCATTTTAAATTATTTTATTTTATTGCAATTCTGTGATTCCAGAACTAAGATGGCCACAGAGTGTATGTCTAACACGTGGTTTCTGATCTGCAGGTGAGCAATGTGATAGAAAAGTGCCACTAGCACATGAATTTCCTGCAGAAGCTCCCTTTCTGCCAGCACCAACATGCAGAGCAACTACTCTGTGGTCATCACCACCAGAGAAACTCTCCAAGTCCTCTATACAATGCTGGCAAACTCATCGGCTGCATTGCGCTCTCTGCCTCCCTGCCCACTTGCCTCTTCGGATTACCAGTTTTCATTAATTCCAGCATTTTTCTCCGTGGTTTTTGTTCTGGGTTTGGTTGGAAACAGCATTGTAGTTGTGGTGCTCTGTCGTCACAGTAGCCCCAAAACAGTTGCTAATATCTACATTTTCAACTTGGCCGTGGCAGATTTGCTGTGCCTCGTCACACTTCCCTTCTGGGCTACCTATTACTCACAGAAGTACAACTGGCTCTTTGGATCTCTCATGTGCAAAATCTCCGGTTCTGTCCTGTGCCTGAACATGTTTGCAAGCACATTTTTTGTTACGTGCATGAGTGTGGACCGGTACCATGCTATTGTCCATCCTATTCGCTCTCAAAGAAGAACTCCACAACAAGCGTATTTTATAGCAACGGTTGTGTGGGGCCTTGCTGGTTTTTCCTCCCTTCCAACTTTTTATTTCCGTGACACACATTACATTAAAAGCTTGGGGGTGAAAGCTTGCATTATGGCATTTCCTCATGAGAATTATGCGAAATGGTCTGTGGGAACAGCCTTCCTCAAAAATGTACTCGGCTTCTTCATCCCCTTGACAGTGATCACAACATGCTACATCTGGATCAGGAGGCACTTGCTAAAAGCACAGAAGTTTGGGAAAAACAAGCAGAAGATGGACAAAGTCCTGAAGCTGGTGGCTGCTGTTGTTGTGGCCTTCTTAATTTGCTGGCTCCCATTCCACATTTTAACCTTTTTGGATGCCCTGGCTCATATGAACATTATTAACAACTGTGATGTGACAGGGATCATTGACACAGCACTACCGTTTGGCATCTGCATGGCGTTTGCCAACAGCTGCATCAACCCTTTGCTGTACTGTTTTATTGGCAACCAGTTTCAGGAGAAGCTCCATCGCTTGTTTAAGCGACGAGTTTATCAGTTCAACAGCCAACAAGAGAGTTCTTCTTTGAGGAAAGGGAGCTGCTTCAGAGACGCTGAGACCCCCGTGGGCAGAGAGAGGGGCCCTGAATCCTTTCTGTAGACACTGGGTTGTGACATGGGGCTGTGTCAGTACAGCTGGCTGCCCCTGAAGTGGGGACACGTTTTTCTCCAGTTCCTTTCATTTTTTGTCCTTTCACTCACCAGCTATGTGAAGGAGAATCTGAGGATTTATTCTTCCTTCCTTTTCATAATGAGCACTAAAGGGAAGATTCTGGCAAATAACTGTATTGATGGCATATCTGCTTATATGTGCCTGAGATCAGGCAAGTGTTTAATACAGAAAGATAAGATACACCAGAGGAACATTTCACCATAGCTACAACTGTGTAGGTGCTGAGTATTACACCCTGACTGCGCTGATTTTCTAAAAGAGATTCTCATTAGGGAATGTGTAAATAAAGCAGTGCGGATACTTCTGTACCTATCTGTAAGAAAATATTTGATCTTTATTATGTACACACACACACACATATATATAGTTTTGAAAATATATTGCTAGAGATAACATATGTTAAATGCATCAGATATACCTCCTGCTTGCTTGGGCCCAGGATCCTGAGAACAGGTGGAGACATGGATTTGCAAATTGCTGGAGGCAAAAGAGAATTAGAGGGGAATAGTCCTACCACATGAATGTTTTTATACCTTTTTCATAGCATGTAACAGGTTTGCAAGCCGGGTAGTCCTTTCCTTTGGTCCACTGTGGTCACTTTTGACAGTAATGCCCTAGGAACAGTCCTGGTACACCAAGTCCTGGTGCTACATGAGTGAGATAAGTTCCACACACTGTCCAGCAGCCTTCAGGGAAAGGACTTGCTGATGGTCTGGACTTTTTGCATTTCAAATGTCACTTACTACTGTATTTTTTGGGTACTGTACACAAAAACCCTAAATGACTCTGTCTTGACACCCAGAAGCAAAACCATGGTGTGATTGCTAAGACTTGCCCACATCTCAATGCATAAGCTTTCTCATTTATAAATAAAAGAAAGGGGAAAAAGATTGTGGCAAATAATGACTCTATTTTGAGGTTATGTTTGATTATTTGAAATTTGCTTTTGCTAAAGAGATACTGATTCTAACCACCAATGTGGATCCTTCCAAAATGATTGTGTTTACTAGGCTCAGTATAAAATTTTTTAGCACCATGCTCAATTTCCAGCAGGCTGTCCCCATGCTGGAGGACACAAGAACCAAAAGATAGTTAGCTTCAGTGAAATGTGTCCAAAAAGTTACCCTTGAAGCTTGTCTAAGCACTTCTGAGTCCATAAATCAGAAATTATACGTGCTGCCAGGGTAACAAGGAGTCTGGCCTCCCTGAAAATCCCAGTGCTGGCCAGTGCCTGGGAGCCTTGGGAACATGATGCAGGAGCCATGTATCACTCTTAGAGCAGGGGCATGTTGCTTTGCTGGTGCCCTTGAAAATAGGATTTTGCAAGAAATCTGGCAGTTTCAGAGTGATGTGGGAAGAAATTTTGTGCAGAACTGAGCAAAATGGGGCCTTCAGGAATAACCACTTCTCCCTGTCCTGGTTTGGTGTTCTGGTAGTAGGGTATGCAGCTGCAGAGATGCTTATCCCAGAAAATGGAAGAGACGCCACTGTGTTTCCCCTGGAATGTTTTTGTTGAAAATGTTCCGACAAGCTAATAGTGTCTGGGGCGTTGGATATTTCTGGAAGGACAAACTGTTAATTGCTTAGCAATGAACACAACAACACAGTCATGCTACTGCAGAACAAATAATTATACTAATAAAATTACCAGGTGTTCAAAGTGGTAGGCTCAGAGGTGTAATAAGAGGCTGTAGAGCCTTTTTACCTTTGCTGCAGTACAGATTAGGTCAGTAATGAGCACAACTGTGCCACTAATTGGCATCTTGGTAGTCTCAAAACAAAATACAAACTACATGAACTGACCCCACTCCTACCTGTGCTTCAGCTGTAGCTGTTCTGGGCGTAAGTACAGCTTATATATTTTCAACAAGTCAGTTTGGACCTGCTCAAAAAGAACAGTTTTCATCCAGTCCTATGCCTGTGCAAACCTCCACAGGTAGGAAAATAAGACAAAAATCTGAAATCTAGCTGCAGTTAGATTTACACCTGTGAGAGGCAAGGAAAATGAAGATAAAACTTCCCAGAGGATAGAGCAGCAATGCAGGGTCTCCCATGGCTGCAGCTAGAGAGCAGAAATCAATGACTGCTTCTTGGGGCTGAGAGCTGCACTCTTTTCTTAGGAAAAAAAAATAATAATAAATAATAATAATAATAATAATAATAAATGGGAGGCAGGACAGGGAGAGGAGGAAAATCCCTTCTTTCAAAGGTCACATTCTGCAAGGGTGAAAGGGTGATAAACTAAGAGAACTCGCTAGCTCGGCAGTGACATTTCTGTTTGCCAAATCTGCTTTGTATTTTATACATAAGTCACGAATTTGAGTAGCTTCGTTAAACAAACACCCAAAAAAGACTGTCTGGAGAGGAACCTGAGATGGAAGTCAGGAAGATCTGTGTTGGTGTTGCTTTATTTTTAGAGCAAATTGAATACTGTTGTGCTCTATGACTTTTTCATGCTAGAGATTCTCATGGGATTTTTCATGGATTTTCCATGGAAAATGTGATTTTCCACACTTTCAGAATGTTGTGTTTATTTTTTTCTGGATTTTCTGAAAAAGAATGTAGACGAAAATGCAAGTTGGTTTTTTTTTTTTTCTTGCAAATTTAGAAGCTACTTTTTTCCTTTCAACAGAACATTTTGCCGATATTTACAAACCGTTCCAGTAGTTATACTGTGTTACAGCCTCTCTCTAGCAAACCTCAGATTCCCTTTCATGTCCTGATCCTTTGCAAGCTTTGTGTTCCCTTAGGGACTCAGAAAATGCAGCCATCCAGTCCAAGGAGGGATGTGCAAACTGGGGAGCCCACTTATGTCTGCTTTGCTGCCCTGCAGCATCCTGTGCCTGTCCTGATACTATACTCTAGCGTGATGCCTGCAATTTTCTCAGGGAATCTCAAGCACATACATGATTTCTCAGTGTCTTGCTCTCTGTGCAGGTATGGTGAGATGAATTTATGAGCAACAGCTGGGTTTTGGAGAGGTTGTGCCAGTGTCAGTGCCAAGGCAAACCTGCTGCAGAGGGGTGAATGATGCTCTTCCCTATGGAAGTGATGATTTGGAGTTAAAGCTGAGTGGCAGCATGATTTCTTTGGAAAGGGGGATGTTCTGGAACATTGCTAGGCCTGTCAGTGTGTCTTTCCCAAGAGAGGCATAGAATGGATGGTTTCCCATTGGGTTCATTTGGTCTCTGTCATATTTGTACACCAAATCCTATTTGCAGCTTCCTTTTCTAGCTGTATTTGATTACTATCAGCTGAAATGAATTGCAGAGAATCTTGATCCAAACTGAGCATCCTGTGTGTGTCCCTGAGCTGGCTTTAGTATGCTCCTTCAATATATGAAGCAGAGCAAGCCACTGGCATTTATTAGCATGAACTAGTACTGAGTGCTAAGCTAAATGCCTTGTTTATATAAGATATACAATAAGAAATGTTTGGTACAGCATGTTCTCACTGAGAAGTCAACACAGCCTGAGCCTGCCCTGGCACCTACTCAGCACACTTGTCCAACTCCTTGGGCCAGAGTATGGGCAGGAATATCATCTTGCTACACTGCAGCTGACAGTTGCAGCTCAGCTGCCTTCTGTGGTGAGTCCCCTTGCCCTTCAGCCAAGGGACAAACAAATTGCTTGTGCTTCCCTGTGAAAATGAGGACCATCTGGGAGTTGTCCTGGAGGGAACACAGAAAAGCTGAAATGTGGGGATGCAGAGGTCTGGCAGCCTTTCCTCGAAGCTGGCAGGCTTGCTGCTCTCGTCTCAACTCCCCATCCCTCAGAAGAAAATGACTGCTCTTGTTGGGATGGGCTGCTCCATTCAGCTCCTCTCTGCCTGCTGTGGGGTCTGGCTGAATGCAGCAGAGAGGGGCTTGTTGTGCTGGCCCATTGGCTCTGCCAGGAAGGGTCTGTGAGTCTCCTGTGGCTTTGTCTTACCAGGTAACTTGCTGTGGAAGGAGTCCAGGGCTGCCATCTTCAGCGTCTCACGTACCCTCTATTCCAGGTACAGTGGCTGGCTGATCACCTTGTGGTTTGGTAGAGTATCTACTGAGGTACCTGTCTGAGAATAAGTGCTCTCCCAGTTTGCTAAGTTTCACAAGAATCAGGAGGAAAGAAGGAATAAATACAAAATAAACAGGAGTCAAAATTATATTGTTCATGTCATTCATATAATAAAACCATAGAGAAGCGAAAGCAGCACATTATTAATGCTGTTAAAATTTCAGTTCAACAGTTTCTTCTGCATTCCCCAGGGATTCCTTTAAGTTTTTGTTCTGAAGCTACCTGCCCATGCATAAGGCAGTTTATTCCTCATGTAGGAACTAAATGCATGCAAATGGGTTTGCAGTTTTATCACCAGTGCTGGAGGAATGGGGTTGAACCCTGAAATAACTTGCCAGTGCCCTAAACCTGCCTCTTTGTGCTTTGCCAGGAGCTGGCATGCAGGCAGCTGCCATGTGAGCACTGAGGCTGGGAGCCACTGGCCACAACCATCCCAGCCCCAGGGTGCCCCACTAACTGGGATGCAGTGCCATGCACAACACACAGCTTCCTTCAAAAACTTACAGCAAAACATCTGCATTAAGTATTAGGACAGCATCCAAACATGCAGCTCTTTCGCAATGGCACGAAAGTGAAAATTACAAATACAAAATGTACAAGGCATGCAGCTGTGTCACAATGGAGTAGAAAAAGTGTAGCTGCTACAACTTCGTCTTGAGAAAACAAAGCATTTCATCTCTAGTCCAAAACCAGCTTAAAATATGTTGCTTCCCAAAATCTTTAATGAGATGAGGATTACATGGCATGCAACTGTTCAGGGCCTTCACTTGCAGGGGAGCTCAATAAGTATTCTTTGCAGATGTTGAAAAGGAAGCGTCTGTACTCTGACCTGCTAAGTGATGTAAGAAACTTAATACATCATTAAATAGATTTCATGACCCCTGAGCTGCTAGCATCTTATCCTGCAAACTCCTTCACTGATTGCAGTGAAATTCATTCTGAAGTAAGGTCACTCACTGCAATTTGGTTCTCTATACAAATCTCTACTCTTTTGAATTCAGGGCTGTTAAAATGTCCTGGATCCCTGTTTACCATAAAATGCTAAATGTCCTTGTTGTACTGTATTAATGGTCCCCTTTTAGATAAATATGTTGCACAGGATTTGTTCTTCAAAGTGTTTTTGTTTCTTTGGAAGAGGATTCCTCTATGTGTTATTCAATATGCTATTCAAAGTAAATATGTTTGACAAAAGTCTAATTAAGAATGTTTAGAAATCAACGTATGGACTAATAAAAAAATTTGTTTGCCTTTCAAATCTAAGATAATAGACTGCTGTCTAGCAAGGAAATGATACAACATAAGGGAGTTGTTTTCAAGGACATGTCTGGAAAAAAGTTTTTAGAGTATGATACTAAATGTACTATATTAACTGGAGAAAGCCCCATGGACATCACTGGCTGTCCGCCCAGGATTTGGCAGTCTTTCATCTGATTTTATTTTGATCCTTATCCCCTGAAAGACTGCAAAGATATCTTTCTTTTATACACTGGAACACCCAAAAAAGAAATTCCAGAGAAGTCAGGAATGTTTATTCCCTCAGCTGACAGTCCAACATGGATCCAGTACTACAACAAAACTGTCTTCTTATCAGAGGCTCTTCTGCTGAGATTCATTCATGTGGAATGAACAGGATGGATTCAGCATGAGGGCCTGTTAAATGCCTTTGAATGTTCAGAGGCAGTACTAAAGAATGTTCACAGGTTTTCCATGGGTCGCAGAGCAGGTTACAGTACCAAGAACTTGTGCATTGGTAACACGTGGCCTGGTGAACCACACTAGATGCGGTTGGAGACACATGAAGAATGAGGGGTTGTTCCCAGAGCTCCTCCCCTACTGTGGACCCCATCATAAATCTTTGCTGTGTTCAAGTTGCTAGCTGTGTTTGTTCTACAATATTTGCCTTAATATTACTGCAAGTATACATGTTAGACCAGCTAAAAATATAACAGTAAAGTAAACTCAGTAATATTTAACATCATGTCTGAACAGATCATAAAGAAGTAGTGTAAAGCTAGCTGTTAACATCTACAGTTGTCATACAGACCATTTTCTTCGCCCTTGCCCCCTTTGTGTATTCAAGTGGTTTACAGAGAAAATATTTAAAGAAAGCACATAGAGGAAATCTGTTTTCAGTTTCTCTGAGGTCTACAACCCTCCCTGTCACCAGTTCAAGCAGAAAAATACTCAGAAGAAACAGTGGAGCTAAGCCAGAGAAACTGCAACAGGGCAAAGAGAGAGCTGACTGTTTTCCTTCATGCTGTGACTAAGAGAAGTCACTATCTGCTTTCCTCTTCACAGGGGTGTCTTTCCATGGAATATTTGTCTCCTCTGTAAAAAAATTCATCTCATTTCTGTGGATGGAGGAATTTGCCACACCATAGCAAAACATGCTTTATTTCCTCATGTAATCTCACATAACAGCACATACTGCTCTAAAGACTAAACGTGCTTGCAAGCATTTGTTTAGCACAAAGTTCATTCTGCAAAAGCACAGTGATTTTGCAAGAAAGTGATTGTGCTTTCTGTGGTTGGGAAATACTGAAAGGCAAATTAAGAACCCCTGTCCTGAAGCCGTTTTGCCAGATTGCTCTCTTGCTTTAGGCAATGCCTTAGTTCCTCATTAGTGTCTTCAAGAAAGCTGAACACTCCAATTAAACTATTATGTGCTGGTCTCTATTTTAGAAACCTCAATCCCATTAGAATTTTACCATCCATGAAAGTCTCTTAAATGCTCCATGACTTATCACAATTCTCTGCTTTTGCAATCCACTTGGCAGCAAGAGGACACACCAAGCAGGAGCTTGGTTCAAAGGGAGAGATGAGGCTCTGATTGTGGTTTTGGATATTATCTGGGAAAACCTAAGCAGGGTAGACAAGAGCAACAATTCTATCTTCATAAACTCTTCCTTTCTGTATGCTCTGATATCTGTTAGTTGGATGAAACGGTATTGTTTTTATCTGTTTTTTGGAAATAAGATACTATGTGTACCTTCTTAGAGGTTGCTGTGTGGATGAAACATTGTTCAAGGCTCAGGCTGCTAGCCAAGGTATTCAGTTCCTTAGTGATTTACAGTGAATACATTCA